ATAGCTATGAACAAGTGGTGTCAGATGTCTGCCTCCAAGATCCCAGCAAAGAAGGCGGGGCCTTCATGTTTCATCAAGAAAAGACATAGAAAAGGCAATTTAAGATGGGAAGGAACTAAGGAGGGCAGGAGGCAGTGACCAGAGAGGCCCCTTCAAGGTCTTGCTTGTGCTGAGACCTGTACAAGGAGGAAGAGTTAGCCGTGCAGAAGGGATAGCGTTTCGGGAAGAAGGGGCCACTGCAAAGGCCCTGAGGCAGGTGTTCGTGCATTTGATAAAGGGCATGAAGGGCAGTGTGCGTGGATGGATGTGGGCTGGGGAGTGGGTGAACGTTACAGTGGAAGACAGAAGTCACAGCTATGTCATGCAAGACTTTGTGCATGGCCTTGCATGGTATTTCAGGGTATCTGCTTTGTTCACCCTTATTCTCCTTCTGATTAGTTCTCAGATGAGTTCCCAGGTCAAGGATGCAGTAAGTATGTGGTTCTCAAAGTATGGCTCCTGGACCAGGTGAATCAGCCTCACTTGTTAAAATACAAATTCTTGGTTCCACCCGAGACTTACTCCTGAATCAGAAGCTCTGTGGTGAAGCTCCACCACAGCAAGCCCTCCAAGTAATTCCCAGTGTTGACCAGAGGGTGAGAATCCTTGTATGCAATGACAGCAAGGTAGTTTTGTTTCTCTGTTTGATTCTTTGCAGTCTTAAAACTGTGTGAGAGTCAGAACTTACCCCCTCCCCACCTCTTTCAGCCATATTTGCCAGATAGAGTCATCATAGTTTTTATTGTTGTTCAGTCACTCAGTTGTGTTTGACTCTTTGGAACCCCATAGACTGCAGCATGCCAGGCTTCCCTCTCCTTCACTACCTCTCAGAGTTTGCTCAAACTCATGCCCATTGACTCAGTGATGTCATCCAACTCATACTCTGTCACCTCTTCTGCTCCTGCCTTCAATCGTTCCCAGCATCAGGGTCTTTCCCAATGAGTCAGTTCTTCACATCAGGTGATCAAAATTTGGAGCTTCAGCATCAGCATCAGTCCTTCCAATAAATATTCAGGGTTGATTTCTTTTAGCATTGACTGGTTTGATCTCCTTGCTGACCAAGGGACTCTTAAGAGTCTTCTCCAGCACCACAGTTCAAAAGCATCAATTCTTCATCTCTCAGTCTTATTTCTGGTTGAACTCTCACATCCTTATGTAACTACTGGAAAAACCATAGCTTTGACTATACGGACCTTTGTTGGCAAAGTGATGACTGTGCTTTTCAACACACTGGCTAGGTTTGTCATAGCTTTTCTTCCAAGAAGGAAGTGTCTTTTAATTTCATGATTTACAGTAGCTATGGAATTTGTATGCAAAAATTCAAGTGAAACCTGACTGGTGAGGATGGGACCAAACCTTCTCATCAGATTATCTAGGCTGCCTGGCTAGTTACATTTTTCAAAATTACGTTGGATTTATCATTCCCCCTTTTTCCTAAAAGAGCTTTTACAACACATTATTTAAAGTAGTCTTGCAATTTCTTAAGTAGAAAAAAAAAGTTCTCACATCCATTTGAACAAACACAAAAAATTCTTCTGCAGAGAACTTCCCCGGTGGTCCAGTGGTTAAGAATTCGCCTGCCGATGAAGGTGACATGGGTTCGACCCCTGGTCTGGGAAGATTCTACATGCCATGGGGCAACTAAGCCCATGCGCCACAGCTACTGATCCCTTGCTCTAGAGCCTGTGCTCTGCAACTAGAGAGTAGCCCCCACGTGCCACAACTAGAGAAAAGCCTGCATGTGGCAACCAAAGCACAGCCAAAGACAAATTTATTGAATTTTTTAAAAAACAGGGTGCTTTAAGGGGGACCCAGTTATGACTATTTAAAAAAATTCTTCTGCAGATGGATTTTTACATGTTTGCAGTCATCCATGCGTTTTTACACATTATATAGGAGAACCATTTTGCGGAAATTGGCTAGAATAGTTGTTCTCAAACTGTAGCATTTAACAGAATCCCTTGGGAGACTGTGAAAGCAAAGATTACTGAGTCCCAACTAGCGTGTCTGGATCAGCGGGGCTGCAGCAGGACCTGAGAATTTGCATCTCCAACAGGCGATGCTGATGCTGCTGCCAATACCACCAGGACTACACGTAGAGCTCCCGTTGTTGGAACACAGAGTTCAAAAAGCTGACTCTGTCTTAAAGATAGGATTAGATTCAGCTGTGAGTAACATGCTGCAACATAAACAGTGGCTGAAACAAACTAGAAATTTATTCTTGTTTGCATAAATGTCCCAGCTAATGTGATGGCTCTCAGGTCTGGAAACTGGAAACTGTACCTTCTCTGTCTTGTCTTTCTAAAACATGCTATTCCTCCTCAATATTGTATGCACCACTGTTTGTTTATCCATTAACCTGTTGAAGTACATCTCGGTTATTTCCAAGTTTGGCAGTTATGAATAAAGCTACTGTTAATATTCCCGTATAGGCTTTTGTGTGGACATACATTTTCCACTCCTTTCAGTAAATATCAAGGAGCGTGATTGCTGGATGATATAGAAAAAGCATGTTTAATTTTACAAGAATTGACAAACTCGTCTTTGAAAGTGGCTGTGCCATTTTGCATTCTCACCAACACCGAATGAGGGTTCCTCTTGCTCCACATCCTCGCCAGCATTTGATGTTGTCAGTGTTTTGAATTCTGGCTATTTTATGAGGTGTGTAGTGGTTATAGAGATGTTTCCTTGGATATTTAGTTTGTTCCTTCTTTTAAACTTTAAACCTGATGTGCACTGAACATTCTTTCCGTATAACACATTTATGAGCATTTCTTTATTTTTTCATGTCTAGCAATAGATTCCAAGTTGTGCACTGAATGGGGCAGAGAGGAAGGGAACTCCAAACTTCCCTTAGATATTGTCAGGTTTTCTTTCAGAAATATGACACGTGTTATGCTTCCACTCAAGCTTTGTATGAGAGCATGGCGATGACTAAATTCCAGGAAGCATTGTTTATTGTGATTTTAAAAACTCATCATCAGGTCTGCAAGGAAAGATATATTGTATTGAGCATGACATGAATTTTATCTCTACTTTCAGAATCTGGTAATAACAGATCCTGGTCTCCTTCATCCCATCTAAGTGGGTCTTCTACACTCACTTTGTTTGGAAGATCTTTGCAATTGTGTATTTGTTCCTCTGGATGGTCGGAGAGTTTGTTGTGGCCTAATATATATATGTCACTGGCATGCATATATATGTACCTGGCATACATATGTACAGTTTCCTAAATTGTAAAACTGGAGTGGTGGTTCTCTAATGGGAATGAGTTTTCTTCCCAATTAGGGTTGCCAGACATAGCATATAACAATACAGGGTGTCCAGCTACATTTGTTTTTCAAACAAACATTGAATGGCCCATGAAATATTTGGGAGTGACTAAGAAGAGTACTCGTTATTATTCTGAAATTCAAATTTAAATGGGTGTCTTTTATTTATGAGGCAACTTTACCCTGAGGTGCATTTGTGACTGTTTAGAGACATTTGTGGTTGTCATAACTGAACAGGGGAGTTCTGGCATCTAGTGAGTTGAAGTCAAGGATGATGATAAATATTCAACAATGTCCCATCCGCAGAAAGACTCATCCTCAGTAGTGCTGGGGTGGAAAGACCTTGGTTAAGACTGTCTGAATTTCCGTTTAATTTCTCGGCTTTTGAAGTTAACCAGTGAAATGTAAAGGATGACAGGGACTAAATATGATTAATATATGTGGGAATGTGTAACTCTCCTTACAGCCTTCCTGTCTCAGGTTACAGACCTACTTGACTGGCCATGCTTCCATCTGTGTACCCTAGTTTATTTTTCTTCATGGCACTTACTGCTGCGTGAAATTACACTACGTGGGTTTATTTCTTTACTTGTGTTTTAATCTGCCCTCCTCACTAGGATGTGAGCCTCGTGAAGATAGGGATATTACTCTTTATATTTAATTCCATCTCTCCAGCACCTTGGACAGCGCCTGGCACATCTATTTGTGCCATGAATGACAAGATGAATAAAGGCAGAGAGGTATCTTGCTTTTAAAAGAACTCTACAGATGCCAAACATATTTCTCATAGCAAATTATTCTTTAAGCTAGAGTGCTTCTCACACTTAAATCTACACTTAAATCGACTGCATTTGCCACCGGCTACATTCTTTAGTTGTTACATTCCTTGGGGAAGCTGCAGTCAGATACCAGCTTCCTGAATCATTCAAAGTATGAAAGAAAATGTGCTTGAGAAATGAAGACAAATTCCCTTCTGAAATATCAGAAGTGACAAACTAATGTTTTAGAAACAAATTAAGAGCCATGTGTATAAAGTAAATGTGCTCATCCCAAGGAGAAAAGAGAAGATGGATCTAGAAGGGACAAGTATGAAGGGACTGGAATAAGAGAAGATGAGAAAGCAAGATCTTTTATTGTAATAGCAAAATATGCATAAATATCTCTGGGCATGATTCCTAGAGATTGAAGTTTTCCTTCAATGAAGTATATTTTTCCCATATGAAGTTAGAAAAATTGTTAATTGTCCATTTTGGTTAATTTTTAGTGTGGATAACTTAATCTAGAAAAGTATGTTGGTCCCAGATTTATAAATTTCTCTTCTGTGTTATTCTAAAGATCTGGGGGCATCATGAAAGTTTTTAGAGAGCAATTAACTAACATCAGAGTTAATGTTTTGTGTCAAAATTTCAACAATTATAAACTTGAAAAAAATTGGAAAAAAAAACTATTTTGGCAATGCAGTTCCATGTTTTATATTTAAATCTATTTGATGTCATCAAAAAATAAAGTAAATGTGTTCATCTGCATATCTGGACCTTTCTCCTATACTTCACGTATGGTGTCCTTGGGGTGGGGGGAGGGATACCGTGCTTTTTCAAGGTCTTCAAAAAGTGTCCTTTTATTGATGCAAATCCCAAAGGACAACCTGTGTCTTTCCCCGGAGCTCACATTTTCTCAATTAAAGACGACATGACAAGCCCCCCAAATGTGTCCAGCTCTGTGCTGGGTCCTGGGGGCATGCCACTTGTCATTTTCCAGTTTGTGCTAGAGCAGCATGTCCTGTAAGCCCTGGATCTGAAAGTCAAGCCGCCACTGTAGACCAGTCACCAAGAAGCACCTACTTTCATGTCAACCTCAGCTTTAACAGTTATGACTCTTGGACTTGATGTGTGAGTTATATTTTTCCGGTGTTCATTAAGATATGCATGGGCTACCCCAGGGGCTCAGTGGAAAAGAATCTATCTGCCTGTGCAGAAGACACAGGTTCTATCCCTGCTCTGGCAAGATCCCACATGCTGCCCAGCAACTAAACTTGAGGGCCACAACCATTAAGCCTCTGCCGTGGAGCCTGGGAACCTCAACTGCTGAGTCCACGTGCCGCAGCTGCTGAAGCCTGTGCACCTAGAGCCTGCGGTCTGCACCAAGAGAAGTGACTCCAATGAGAAGCCTATGGACCGCAACTAGAGAGTAACCTCCACTCTCCTCACTCTCCTCACTTCACTAGAGAAAAACCTCGCCCAATAATGAAAATCCAGTACAGCCAAAAATAAATAATTTTTTTTTTAAAGAGAGATGCACGGCCAGTTACAAATTTTAAAAATGGTTTTCTTTGTACCACTGTGAATTAACTAATGATTTCATTGATGATTTCATTGATACTCAAGTCATATTCTGGGAAAAGCCTGATTGAACCCAGAAAGATGAACCCAGTAGGGCTGGGTCCTTGACTGAATCCTTGAGGGATGCATTGCTTTGTGGCAAAGGAGTCAAGACTGTTGTATTAGAATTCTGTCTCTGTCGCTTACCACCTGTGTGACTTAAGGCAAGTCCCTTAACCTCTCTGAGCCTCAGTTTCCTCACTGTGATGTGAGGATGATAAAAAGCATCTAATGCATGGGATTGTTGGGAGTATTATGTTCATTGGTCATTCTAGAGCGTGTAAAACAGTGTCCAGAATGAAGTAAGTGTAATCATTAAATAATTTTATAACTTAAATGTGATATAGAGCAGTTTGTTACCTACCCAAGGAGAAGCACAGAATCAAAGTATTGCATAGATGTAGAGATACCATTTGACTGGGGTTCCTAGGGAGGGTTTCTTAGATCTGGAGGTGCAACTAGAGAGTAACCTCCACTCTCCTCACTCTCCTCACTTCACTAGAGAAAAACCTCGCCCAATAATGAAAATCCAGTACAGCCAAAAATAAATAATTTTTTTTTTAAAGAGAGATGCACGGCCAGTTACAAATTTTAAAAATGGTTTTCTTTGTACCACTGTGAATTAACTAATGATTTCATTGATGATTTCATTGATACTCAAGTCATATTCTGGGAAAAGCCTGATTGAACCCAGAAAGATGAACCCAGTAGGGCTGGGTCCTTGACTGAATCCTTGAGGGATGCATTGCTTTGTGGCAAAGGAGTCAAGACTGTTGTATTAGAATTCTGTCTCTGTCGCTTACCACCTGTGTGACTTAAGGCAAGTCCCTTAACCTCTCTGAGCCTCAGTTTCCTCACTGTGATGTGAGGATGATAAAAAGCATCTAATGCATGGGGTTGTTGGGAGTATTATGTTCATTGGTCATTCTAGAGCGTGTAAAACAGTGTCCAGAATGAAGTAAGTGTAATCATTAAATAATTTTATAACTTAAATGTGATATAGAGCAGTTTGTTACCTACCCAAGGAGAAGCACAGAATCAAAGTATTGCATAGATGTAGAGATACCATTTGACTGGGGTTCCTAGGGAGGGTTTCTTAGATCTGGAGGTTCTAGTATGCAATGTCCCAGAACAGATGGGCATTTATCTGCTGGAGATTTGCTTTGGGAGAAAGGGCATGGCAACCTGGAGGGTGGGAGCCTAGGATTGCATTTGATAAATGACCAGCAGTTGGGTCTGCTTGGGGCATAGGTTTGATGTGGCAGACAGCAAGATCCTAAGGCTGGGAAGGGAGAATCAAAACCCAAAGATTCTGAATGAGCTACTGAATTTCACATGGAAGTCGTTGAAGAGTTAAGGACATCTTTTTAATGATAACAGAAAATGTGACTGTGAGGAATTCAAACCCAGGCAGCAGACCAACAGGGTACATGTTGGTCTGTGGTGCAAGGGAAGGAGACACCTGTTGCTAGGGTTTGCCAATGTCCATGATGTAACACTCAGCAGTCTCCACTCTCAGCATGGGAGACTGGCTGCTGAAGTTCCTGGACATGGAGCTGGAAGGAGATGCCTAGAATCAGCTCTTGTGGGTCTGCACCTGCCAGGTCCAGCCCACCATTGACTAGACCTACCTCCTCCACTCCCCTAAGCTTTGACTAGTTCTGTGACCCTGGTCAGGTGGTTAATCCCTTTGAGTCTTACTTTCCTTATCTACAAAAGGAGGAAAATAATGTAAAACAACAGAAATGACATTTGCAGTTATAAAAAGAGAAAGGCAGTGAGGTCAGAAGTGTAAGATTTTTCCCCAGGCTAGTGTTGTCCCAGCAATTGTCCCAGAGGACAATTGTCTTCCTGCCCTTAAAGCTTCCTGCCTCCATGCCTGAACTCACAGCCCCTTCCTTCATCCTCAAAGCCAGCAAGAAGCATCTCCTTCTCTGGCCTCCTGACATTGTCTTATTAACACCCTTGTGATGACATTGGTCCCACTGGATGAACCAAAATCATCTCCCCATCTCACAATGTTGAAGTGAATCACAACCACCAAGTGTTCCTTTTGCTATGAAGGTCCCATATTCTCAGGTTCCTGGGGTTAGGTCGTGGATGTCTTTGGAGGGAGGTATTTTTTAGCCCATGACAGTAACCAGAGACAACTGTGTGTGTGCGTGTGCATGTGTTTGAGGAGCTGTCTACAATCATTGGCATAAATACAAGCATGTCTACAAGCATATGTATAATAGTGTCTATATATTGTGCATTAATATGTATAGACAAGGGTTTCCCTGGTGGCTCAGATAGTAAAGAATCTGCCTGTAATGCAGGAGATCCAGTTTTGATTCCTGGGTTGGGACGATCCCCTGGAGAAGGGAATGGCAACTCACTCCAGTATTCTTGCCTGGAGAATTCTATTTACAGAGAAGCTTGGAGGGCTACAGTCCATAACTTGACAGAGTGACTTCCAGTTTCATGTATAGATGAAGGAGCAGAGAGATAAAATAGAAGAGGCTTTAGAGTCGAGGACCAGTTTTGCTTGTTTGTTTTTGAAGTTTGAATATACCATGCTTTTAAACTGAGGCAAGCTATCCAGTTGAGAGGCAGAAATAGATGATGTGAAAGCTTGAGAGGGACAAGTGAACCATAAAGACTGGTTTTTGAAGGAGAAGGAGATGCTTATCATCACAGACAAAGACAGGTAACAAATTCTAAGTTGCTGGCAGATTCTCTGGAGGGAAGAGGAGAGAGTTCCTTTCTGGTGGATTCTGAAGTGTAAGTCATCAGCTGAACATGTGTTGGGGGTCAGTGGGATGATAGGATTTTGACTGTTGATTATTCATCTCTGTGTAGGGCAGCTCTGGTACTCGGGAGCAGGAAGGAGCAAAGTGGGTGAGCTGAGCCAGTCAGGAAATTTGATTTGGGTTTGTGTGTTAAATACTCTCTAATCCAATCTCATCTCAGTCTGGGGCCTTTAAGAACTTAGTGAAACTCATAGGCTATCTAGTAGGTCCCAGCTCTCAGTAAAGCCATCTGTTTTCTGTCTCCTCTCTGACATATTTGTCTGTGATCCAGTATAAGGGCACAGGAAACAGGAAGTGCCAAGGTTTCCCAAAAACCACAGTGATTGTGGGGTCTGCTATGTAATTAGGTCTTGTCATTCTAAGCACGCTGAGACCCTTCTGGTGCAAGAAGACACCTTCTTTCCCTCTTGGGGAAAGCTATCCAATTCAGGTTAAGTTGGATGTTGTTTGTGATTTTGGGGTTTTGGAATGCATGTCTTATTCTTCTTATATTGGAGAAGGAAAATTTTCTCTCCTTCATGTAAGATTTTGTTGTTATTTTCACTGACTTTTAAGAGAGAGGACCAGAGTGGAGCTAATATTCCTTCAGTTTGATTTATTAAACTGAAATTCCAAAATATTTTCCCATAGTAATAAGGTTATGAATCTATTCAAATTTGTATATTTTCTTCTTGATCATTAGTCAAGTTGAATGCATATTTTTTCCTTGGCAATAAAGAACTTCTATAGCATTTCCCAATCACTAGACAGAAAAAAAATAAGGGCATATAAAAATAAATCCAGTGAAGGAGAAGAAATGGAAAAAACAACCCACACAGTATTATGGGACATTTAAACATAAAATAAGATAGCAGGAATAAATCCAAACAAATCAATCAAGTAAAGGCTTATAGTCAAAATCTATTTAGACATCAACACTAAAGAAAAATACACAGATCATTGAAAATAAAAGCAGGCAAAACGTTGCATTAGGAAAATGTTTACAAGAATCAGAGAAATCTGAGATGGATGGCTGTGTTAATTTCAGGAAAAAAAAATATGTTCAAAGCTAAAAACATTAAGAAGGACCAAAGGAAAGTTTTGATTATTGGCAACAGGAGACATAATACAGAAGAATTTATCATGGTCATGATATCTTAGGTAGTGTCTAACATATTGAGGACAGGTATGGTCTTGTGTTTTTGAAATATAAGAACCTAACCATTTCAGAATCCCTGGGAAATAATTTACCATACCTTTCTCAGACATTGATAAATATAGCAGACAAAACTAAGAGATTCTGTATTAAAATTGAGAGTACAGTTACCAAAAGACCACAATATGGGACCAATTCATCCCACCTGATATCTTTTAGAACTTATCAGTATTTCTGGCCCATTGATATTGTATTATTTGCTTTCCAGATTTATACCAGCTTTTCCTATTTTTTTCTTTTAAACTGTTTCATGAGGATTTTCTGTGGAAGCATATGTAAATGAACGATCTTAATCTGCCATCTGTAACAATCCATTTTATGTTTGTTTTTTAAATTTAGCATTTCTTTGGCTTAATTTTCAATTTTGTTATCCTATCTTTTATACTATTATTTCTTACCTTTGGTTTTATCATTTT